ATACATTAGAGTAGTTTACTAGGCTAATTTGTTACTAAAAAATTATAAAATTAAGAAAATGTTAAATGAACGGATATTAAGTATTTTGATGATGATATTTTATGATAAAAATAAGTTTACATAATTTTGGATATTTATATGGGACATTAAAACGGTCCATATATTAAATCATTTTAATGAAATCGTAAACATTAAGTAGACAAATGAAGGGCTAAGAAGTAATTTGGTAAAGCTTTTAAATGATAATTATAAAAACTGAAGTTATGAGACATAACGACGTTTTGAGAGAAGATTATAGTACTTAGGCTTATATACATCACATTATTAATAGAGAATCAAATTGAATTAAGATATGAAGATCCAAATATATTGTCATTTGTGTGCTAAAACAATTAATTAAAAATTTGAACATATCAATGAACTAATCTTTAAAAGGACAAGGAATATTGACGTTGTAAAAGGTTCATTGAAGTATCTAAAAATATTTATTACACTATAGTAAATTTGATTACAAGTACCTTCGTAATAATGAAATAATTCACTATTAAACTAGCATTATCAATAACAAACATTAAATATAATATTCCAATATTTACCATAAAAATGTTTGCAGAAGATATCCCAAATAAGATAAATCAATGTATGTCATTTATAAATGATAAATATGACACATCATACCAGCTTAAGTGAATCATTTTAGAAAGTTTAAGAAATTCTTATAAAGTACGGGATTGAAGATTAATAAATCGAAGATTGAGTGCAAGAGCTACACTTCTAATAAATCTAAAATATATAATGAATAATCAATGCTGTGAGACAATCATGCCCCTTCTGAAATAAGTGAAATGCACAAAATTTTTTTAGATCATACTCCATCTAAGTGAAATGTTTAAATAAATTAACATTTATAATAAGATAAGAGACAGATAGAATAACAATTAAATGTATGACAAGCATTTCAAATGAATCTAAATATCAAAATGATTAAATCTTAGAGTTGCTAGATGATCAATAGATAACAAAAATGATAGGTTCAAATACCATAATCTACAAAACAAATATATATATATCATTGAAGGGGATAGATTTTAGAATAAAAAAGTGCATGCTTAACGAAAATTTTTCTAATGAAAGAATGTCAACAATACAAAATTTAAACATATAAAATTATTTATACTAATGATGTTTAATAAATACGTTGAAAAACAAAAATTTACTCCAAGCTATTTGGTGAGAAAAAAAAATGAGAAATTTAAGAAGAAAAGTGAAAGATAAGAAACAAATAAATAAACATCACAGAATGCATAAGTGCAAATAATTTAACATAGGTAATTGTAAACATGGTTGCATGATAATAAAACCAATAGGAAAGAATAAATATTAAACATGCTAACAATCACAAAAGAACGGTGTTAGATAAAAAGAATATAGTTGGAAGTTGTCAAAAAATAATTGTGCTCAATAAAATGAAAAAGAAACACATCACTCAACAAACTACCATATGAGGGTGTACAAAACAAACCACAATTGGCGTGACAAGTCTAACAATTATGATCTTCTTCCATCAAACACTCCTTTAGTTAAACACCTAAAATGACATCAATTGTTGAGATATTACATTGATTCTTCAAATCCTCCAAATCTTTCTCTACCTACTAAAACATACTCTCCTAAAACCTCAACTGATAAGTTTGTCAAAACTTTTATGAGCAAACCACCATTAATTGGCCAATAATAAATAATATCGACAAGCACAACCTTAATAATGTCTCTTACCCATACAACTCATATATCATTGATGAGTTAAGAGTAGTGATCAACTAACCTCCAATTTTGCCTTAAGGTCGTGATTTTGAGACATGAAATAACCTCTCTATATTGTAAGGTAAGGTTACATCAATTTCTCTGGTCGTTTATTTGTAGGTTCTTCATGAACAAGGTTATGCCTTTTTTAGTAATGAATTATATTTAGATAACTACTAAATTATTCTAGGCATTCAAACTATGAATAATTGAAAAAACTAATTACTATTATCATCATTTGATTTCTCGGCAAGCACACCAACACTACTGAACAATAGCACCAAAGTGGGTAAACATTAAAGAATCCAATGCATGAATTTGAATCTTCAAACATAAGACCTAAGTTTTAAGTTTTTATATGCCACCACCTTACAATAGACACCAAGAAACACAAACTACCTAATGTTGGTTATTTAAGAATGAAGAAAAAAAAGGATATGGACCAAAGCTGCTTCTACCAAAACTTAACACCAATTACTGTCAATAAATTTATATGTGTGAGTTTTATGAATGTTGATATGGTGAGATGCACATTTAGATTTGACATGCCAAACGTCAACTTTTGGAGGGGAACAAGCAATTATTTTGTAAATTTTCTTCTCTCAAAATAGAAATTAAAAGCACTAGCATCCACTTTTATAACATTTCCCTTCATTCAACATAAAACTACATAGCAACAATGAAATGCTATGGAGTATAATATTTGACAATAGTTCACGCATAACACAATATATAGTTTTCTATCAGTCAACAAGATGAAGTACCCCAATGCTTGCCTTTACTGTAGCTTTCACACTACTAAACCAATTTCACCAGTTTCATTTCTTACATTACAAAGGCATACAGGGTATTCATACGTATTTCAATTGAAATGTAGTATATTCATAAACAAAAATATTCACAATCAATCAGATAAATCAAACATGCATTCCTCAAAAGTTGGTCAATGAAACTACAAAGATGACAGCATTCCCTAGCCACACTTTTCGAAGCAAGGTACAGCCACTTTGTTTAATCTTCTATTGCTATCATTTTGGACTTTTCTGGCTGGCCTTCAATTTTATTGCTACAGCTTCACAAAAACCTTGAAAATTTACGAGCAAATATATCATTAGGGTAACCATAGCCCATAAAAACACCTATGTTGGCTTCCATTCTTGCATTGACGTCATCCCAATCTCTTCAGCTTTTAATTAGCATCCTTATCCAGTATAATAAATGATGAGGGCAAAGTGGTGAGTTGATTGTCGTTGTGAATGATCAAGGTCACTAAGAAGTGATCAAGTGGACTCAATCTCCTTCAAGCTTCAGAAGATCAAATTTTGGCAGCAGAGCTTAATTGAGAGTGTTATGAGTCGGATAGGGTTTATTCTACATTCTGTCCAGAATCTAAAAGACTCAATCAAACACTAAGAATTTTCTCTGCTGAATCCAAATCATGCAAACAAGTACTTCAATTGTGTGGTATGGCGTTAACTAATGATTTGGAAATTTTGGTAAGTTTTGGGATTGATTGGATATAAAGAAACACAGGTATACTGGAGATAGGTCGATTTTGTCAAAAGAAGACCTAGTCTGGGAAATGGGCTCAAAATTTTTGTGGAGGTACGGGAATTTAGCGATTTAGAGTGGAAGTGATCCTAGAAACACTCTGGTATAGGTCTGAAAAATTTAGTTGGATTCAAACTATTGGAGATATGAATTTAGAGACAAGAAAATTAGAAAAAAAGAAATAGGAAACATAACACAAGAAACTAGGACTTTCTTTGGGCTAAGTTTTCTCCAATAATTTTAACATAACATTACAGAAATCTTTTTTTATATTTTTGATAGTGAATAAGCCAAAACTAATAATACCATATTCAAAATTTTTTGAGAAGTTTTGATGAGTGAATTAGGGTAAATGGCTGGACTGGCATAAATTTTTTAGAAAAAATACAGATTTTGGGATTATCATTTAAGACAACAAAACAAAAGGATAAAATACAAGATTTAGGGTTTTTTGTTCTTGAAACATAAAATTAAACAGCACCACAACACACATGATACAAAATTTAAATGAAATAAGTGCAGAGAAATTAAATTTCCTACTCGCCAAAGTAGGTTTCCATGGAGATTACCAAATTCCTTGGGTGGTTGGCCACAAACCTGAAACCATAAAAGAATTTTTCATCTAAGTGTTACACAGAACCAAGATTAACTTCACCTCAGAGAAGAGAGTAGTTTAACCACACATACTAAGCACTCTTTCATCACACCGTTTCACTACAAGGAACTAATTCCAGAGAAAGAGAGAGGGGGTGGTCGACCCCTAAATGTAACCACCCAGACTACCAACTATGGCTAACCCCCTTTGCTTCCACTTCATGCATTAACCCTTGGTCAATGCCACCAAGCAAACCTTGACTTCACATAAGCAAATGTTTGACTTCAACATAAAAACACATACACTTTACATTTACACAAAAAATTAACACACGCATTAAGGGAAGCTAATCACTTCATAACGCATGGAAATAGACATTTTTGAAGCCATCAAAATCCTCTCAAGCTTTATTTGACCATTGATTTGGATCTAATAGTTGTGTCACCTCCATGTGCCACATCATTTCCCATGGATCCAAAAGAACTCTTCTCGGGAGAGTTTAAAGCAGCACACTCATCTGATAAGTCTGGTTCAAGCTTTTTCAAGTCCTCTCTAATGATCCAAGCATCATTTGTAGGTGATTTATCCGTTCACCTCAGTGTTAAATTAATTGTTGTTATGGAGAATCAAGATTACTAAGTGATGAAGTGGACTCAATCTCATTTAAGGGTCAGGAGATCAAATTTTAGTAGCAGAGCTTAATTGGAAGTGGTATGAGCAGGGTAGGATTTATTCTAAATTATGTCCAGAATCTAGAAATCTCACTTCCAATACATAGAACTAGGGAATGCGTCAAGCAGAATGATCCCAAATTCCAAATTTATTTAGAAGATGGGCCACCTCCATGTGCCACACCAATAAATCATTAAAACAATGGAATTAAAAAACCAAACACAGCAAAGCAAATCCATTTATCAAGTTCTTATGCATGGGGGTATAGCACATATGCAGGGTCCAGAAATCAAGTTCGATTGCCATATGCAAGCCAAAAAGAAATGAGATTAAGAGAAACAAAGAGAGAACGAGAGAAATGGTAATAGATGAAGCGAACCCTGCTCATTGCGAGCCGTGAATATGATTGCCCCCGTCTCGTCACCCACAAGGCATTCGGAAATTCTCGTCTGCCGAGATTGCGCCGAAGCTACTCGTCCCTTCTGCAACACCGTGATTGAATTGACTACCTTCACCACGAGAGTGTGGCCGCTCGTTCCCGGCTTCAACTGATCCACCTTCACAAACACAGGCTTACGCATTGCCGGCTTCACCGCCGCACCTCTTCCCTGCTGCGCCGCCGTCGACATTACTTCAGTCACCAAAGATTGCCGATCAATTCAAGCAGAGAAGAAAACCGTATCCTAACCTATCCGAGCTGTTTCTCCTAGAATCAAATTGTTGGTATGGCTCACCGTCGAAATCGGAAATTAAGTTGTGGATTAATGTTGTAATTAGATATTGTATTTAGGATTTACTTTTCGGAATATAAATAATGATGTTAGTAATTTCAGAAGGTATTCTTAATTTTTATAATTTTTTTTTGAATATTGAAAGGAACTCGCCGCTCTGTTCCAGATGACGTAGGTATCTTTGCCGAACCTCGTTAAATCTCTTTGTGTTCTTCTGGATTTGTGTTGATTGTTGTTTTTCTTCGCTATAATTTCTCAACAAGTGGTATCAGAGCGAGGTTTTAGGGTTGGGAGGAGAAATTTCGTCGGCGCAACAGAGAAGAAGAAGATTTGGCAGCTAGGGCAGAGGAGTTTGGTGAATTTCGGGGCTTCGATAATTCGGCGAAGGACTTTGGCGGTTCACGGCAGATTGTTGGTGCAGGGAGCGAGGAGTTCGTGAAGGATTATTTGCGAGAGGTTGCCGCTAACATAAGGGTTTGCGAAGGCAAAGCCGAAGGCGGTTCGCGGGACGGAATCAAGGAATCGAAGTTGTTTGGCAGTTCGGAGGTGTTACGGGTTTCTTATTCGCGGGAAACTACAGGTGGTACAAGGGAGTGATCGGGCAGCTGCCGGGCGGACGGTTCATGGGATCACGGAGATCAGAAGGGAATCTTTCACTTCTACTAGGGGAATATTTCCCTGGATTTTTACTTAATTATAGGCGGAAAGGAATTTTCTTTCCTAAGGTGTCGGGGAGGAGCAGTTGTTTCCTTTGATGGACCGTTGGATCTGCGGACGTGAAATTTGAAAAGGATCTTTCTCATGCTGGAGCTGCGTGAAGATATGCAATGAATCTTAAGAGAAAGAAATTGTTTAATTAAAGAAAATATTTAATTAAGAAAACTTAATTAAGATTTTCTTTGTTGGAGGCTGCGGAGAAGAAAATTGGAAGTTCTGATTTTATTTTTTTGCGGGAAAAAGAAAAATTTTTGAAATTCAATTAATTAAAGGAAATTATTTAAATAATGGGGACTTAATTAAGAAAGCTTAATTAAGAAAATATTTCAATTTTTTCTTTTCAAAAAAAAATCTGTTTTTTATTTGGAAAACTTAATTAAGATAACTTAATTAAGTGAATTTTCAATTCTTCTTTTTCTTTTTGAAAAGATTCTGAGCAAGGATTTGCAGAAGAATTTGCAGAATAATTTGTTGCAGGATTAATTTTAAATGACAACTTCTGGTGCAAAATTCGATGTGGTGAAGTTCGATGAAGCTGGTAACTTCGGATTGTGACAAGCAAGAGTAAAAGATTTGTTGGCTCAACAGGGAATCTTGAATGCTTTGCGGACAACAAAACTAGATGTCATTGAGGATGAAAATTGGAAAGAATTGTAACAATGAGCGGCAACAACCATACGTTTATGCCTAACAGATGAGGTTATGTATCACGTGATGAATCTGAAATCTCCAAGGGAGATATGGAAGAAATTAGAAACTCAGTTTATGGTTTATGGTTAAATCTGTTAAATCTCTGATGAATAAATTGTATCTGAAGCAAAAGTTATATGGGCTGAAGATACAAGAAGATTTTGATCTTGCGCAACATGTTAATGGTTTCAATCAAATAATTACAGATTTATCACGGCTTGATGTGACTATTGAGGATGAAGACCGAGCAATGATTTTGTTGTGTTCACTATCTTCTTCCTATGAACACCTGGTGACTACTCTTACATATGGGAAAGAAACTATCAAAGTTGATGAGAATGGTGCAGCATTGTTGGCTCACAACCAGCGGAAGCAAAATGTAGGAGAAAGCTCTCATGACGACAGTTTATATGTTAAGGGTAAGCAAGATCATGGAAGGAAGAAAGAGAATGTGAGTTATAGAAGGCGAAATTCCAGATTCAAGTTGAAAGGCAAAAAGACAATTCATTGCTACAATTGCAAGGAGTCAGATCATATGAAGAGAGATTGTCCAGCTGAAGAAACAGACTAGGGAGAAAGGTGATGCATCATCGAAGTTTGTAAATATGGTGTAGAGTGACAATTCAGATTGCAGTGATGGCGATATGCTTTCAGTTTCATCAACTCAGTTCACTGATGGATGGATTATTGATTCAGGGTGCTATTATCACATAACACCTAACTGGGAGTGGTTTACTTCATACTGGTTAACTAATTCTAGCTCAGTCTATTTAGATGAGATAGATGTTGCAATATTGTTGGTATTAGAGAAGTCAAAATTAAGATGTATGATTGCACAGTTAGAACGTTATGTGATGTCAGACATATTCCAAATCTGAAGAAGAATTTGATTTCCTTGGGCACTTTACATAGAAATGGTTTCATTCCTAAGACAGATGAAGATAGGGAAACCATCATAATTATTAAGGGTGCACTAACTGTGATGAAAGGAAAGTTAATTGCAAGCAATATCTACAAACTGTTGGGGAGTACAGTTGTAGGTGGAGTTCATTCTGTGGAGTTAGATGATGATAGTACAAAGCTAATGACTTATGTGTTTGGGTCATCTCAGTGATGTGGTATGGTGAAATTGCATAGAAGGAATTTGTTGCATGATGTTAAAAGCTGCAAGCTCGATCTTTATAAGTTATGTGTTCTTGGAAAACAGAATAGAGTCAGTTTTAAGGTTGGAAAACATAAAACTGAAGTGATTCTTGATTATGTGCATTCTGATGTATGAGGCCCTACCAGGGAATCATCATTGGAAGGATTTCAGTATTTTATTACCTTTATTGATGATTTCTCCAGGAAAGTTTGGGTGTATTTCTTGAAGTAGAAATCTGAAGTCTTCTCTAAATTCAAGTTGTGGAAAGCTGAGGTGGAGAAACAAACTGACAGAAAGATCAAGTATTTGAGGCCCGATAATGACACAGAGTACATAGATGTTGACCTCACTTTTGGTTGAGGTCTAGAAACCTTCTTTAGTAACCTAGGTCTAGCCATAGGACTTTCCTATTGACTAGTCTTAGAAAATTAGAAACCCTTAACTGAAAGAGCAAGATGTTTGAGACTGAATGCAGGGCTTCCTAAAAGCTTCTGGGCAGAGACTGTGAGTTTGTCATGTTATCTCATCAATAGTTTATCTCGGACATCATTGAGTTGTAAATGTGACAAGGTAGGTATGGACAGGTAATCTAATTTTGATCATTTATGGATTTTCGGTTGTCCTGCTTATGTGCATGTACCTAGAGATGAAAGATCAAAACTTGACGCAAAATCCAAGAAGTGCATCTTTCTGGGTTATAAGAATTATAATATAAGAAAGATGTGAAAGGATACAAGTTTTGGGATCCGATTGCAAAGAAGATGGTGATCAGTAGAGATACAGTTTAATATGAACAATCTATGTTGTAGCGAAATCAAGACAAGGTGTCAAGGAATAGTTCCAGTTCAGATGCAGTGTAGATGGATTTAATACAGCGAAACGACTGAGAGAGTTGAAGGTTCAAATCCAACACCTGGTGATTTCATTCTAGATGATCTGCAGAATTATAATCTAGCCAGAGACAAACAGAGACGCACCAATATAAGACCTCATAACATATTGGGTTATGAAGACTTAGTCTTTTGTGCACTTCTCATCAGCAGCAATGATCCATCCACTTTTCAAGAAGCTATCACTAGCTAGGAGAAAGAGCAATGGATAGGTGAAATGGTTGAGGAGATGGAGTCTTTGCAGAAAAATCGCACATGGGAGCTAGTTCAGTTTCCTAAGGGAAAGAAGACTATTATTTGCAAGTGGGAGTACAAAAGGAAACCAGCAGTATCAGAAAAAGAAGGGGAAAAGTTCAAGGTTCGGTAACAAAGGGATTTTCACATCAGAAGGTGATATATTATGATGAAATCATTTTTTCTTGTGGTCAGACATAATTCAATCAGTGCAGTGCTTGCACTAGGTGTACCATGCGAGAACTAAGCACATTAATGTCAGGTATCACAAGATCAGAGAATTGATTGCTTCTGATGAGATATTGTTGCAAAAGGTCCATAATGATGAAAATGCAGCTGATATGTTGACCAAGCCAGTTCCAGACCAAGCCAGTTACTATCAACAAGTTCTTGCATTGCTTGGACTTGTTGAATGTGTGCAAATGCTAGAGAAGCATGGTGGACCAACCCATAGTGGTGCAGGTGTAACTCCCATGTTTCCTTTTTTTTTCTAAGGGGCTAGATATTCGCCAAGGTGGAAATTTGTTATGGTATGACTCATATACCATATAGGGACATATGCCGGAACGAAGCGGAGTGGAAGAAACTGTCCAAATCGGAAAGTTACGTTATGTGGGTTGGAGGTGCGGGGGCAACGCCCCGTAGTACGGTATAGGGGTAATGTTGTAATTACATATTATACTTAGGGTTTACTCATGAGGTTATAAATAGACATGTTCGTAACCCCAGGAGGTATCCCTGATTTCTGTAATCTTTTTTCTGAACATTGAAAGGAACTCGTCGCTCTGCTCCCGAGGACGTAGACATCTTTGTCGAACCTCGTTAAATCTCTTTGTTTTCTTCTGGATTTGTGTCGATTACTGTTCTTCTTCGCTCTAATTTCTCAATACTAATTTGAGTCAAAATCACCAAATTTTATAACTTAGGATTTAGTAAAATTTAAAATCTTTAAATTCTTAAATTTTTGGTATAACGTATGATAAATTCGATTAATATTTATGAAAAAGTCTTATAACTTATTTCAAGATTTAAATCTTTTTGTTGAATTCAAAAATATTCTGTAGATCACATCCAAGATATAAAACATTGAACAAATAAGAGGAACCAAGAGAAAGATAGGATAAACAAAGTGTATAAGAACACAAGTTTTGAAAAGCTGAATTCAGTATTCCTTTCATGAAGAAATGAACTCTTTTTTATAGCTCATATGGGTATATAGTAAAGACACATGTTTGTCCCTATTTTAGTAGGGGTGTTACAAGTAATTATTACGCCTTTTCATATTTGTAGCTGACTTTGGGAACTCTTAATATCCATAAGTGACATGGACACCGTTTTGCATTC